TTTCTATCTGTACCTTTACTGAGGAGGGACACTTGCTCATAACTCTAAACTCCCTCTTTGTCCAAGGTGGTGTGGTTACCAGCGCCCAGAGCAGAGCCAGCATGGCGGTCACCAGGGCCTTTATATCCAGGAAGAGACTCCACCCTTCTCAGCCTTGAGGACTCCAGAGCAAAGACACAGGATAGGGCCCTCATTTCTGCCCCAAGAGGACCTTGTGAAGTGGTTGGTGAGGACCAGCCAGGTTGTGCGTGTACTATAGCTGTGGTCAAGGGTCAGCTGGGGATTCAGTCATGGCTCCTCATTCCTGGGGTGGCTCTAACAACTGGGCCATGCAAGAGCCCAGCTCTGAGCTCTCTGTCGCTTTCTTTTTTTTGGTGGTGGTGAGGAGGGCATTGAGACAGTGTCACCCTATGTAGCCTTGAACTCACTATGTAGCCTATGCTGTCCTCTAACTCACAATGACCCTCCTATCTCAGCCTCCTGAGTGCTGGAATTACAGGTATGTGCCACCACACCTGGCTGTTGTCACTTTCTAGACCTGGTCCTGGTGGGAGCTTTCTTGGATGTGCCCCTTCTTTCGTGCTCTCTGGGCTGGAGTAAGCAGGCCCTCCCAGGGGCTGCTTCCAAGGGGCTGAGCAAGGCCCATCTCTGCCCTTCCTGCCTTGCTTTGGGCCTCACCTATCTACCAGGATCCAAGAGGTGTCCTTTTCACATGGGTAGCCCAGCTCTTCAGGAGAGCCCGCAATTTCCAAGGAGGACCCTAGAGCTTTGCCCCTTCACTGCCTTACTCCCAACCTGCCTACCTATCAGTCTGATGGGTTGCGGCTGGCCCCTGGAAACCAGGTAGTGCCCTTGTGCCCCAATGCCAGGCCCTGCCATTACAGGTTGGCAAGCCTAGGGGCAAAGCATGCCAGCCAGCACAGCGGCTCACTGGTGGCCAGTCTGTGCCTTGGGGGCTGTGCACTGACTGGCTCAGTTGTTGTGGGCAAGGAGCTGATCCATGAGGGGAGGAGACTGGGTCTCTGTTCTGCTCCAGGTATCATGAGTCTGTGGGGGGCATAGGCTTTCTTCCTTCCTGGCAGGGGCTAGAATCTGTTCTTTAGTTCAGAGATCAGTTACTGCCCAGGTGAAAGAATGAGCTGGACTGAGGTTGAGGATGCTGGCCCTCTACCCCACTGGGCTGACCTTCACGGGGGCAGGGGCTCCACCTCGCCTCCTTGCTGCCTTGCTGCTGTGCCTACTTCTGCATGTAGCTGTACACGAGGGGAGCTGTGTATGTGTGGGGTATGAGTGTATTCACAACCATGTGCATGAACACGAGGGTACGTGTGTGTATGTGTGTGTGTGTGTCTGTGTGTGTGTGACCCACTATGACTCTCATGAGACCACAAGTGTGCATACCTGTGTGCACACGAGGCTGTTCTTCAGCAAGTGCACCCAGCAAACCTGGGCTATATTTAAGGTAGCCATTATTTCTTTGATCCATGCCCTTGCCCCAGTGTTTTTGTTTTTGTTTTTGAAGTGGGGTCTCACTATGTAACCCAGGCTGTCTTTGAACTTTTGGTGATCCTCTTGACTCAGCCTCCTGAGCTTGGAGGCTTCAGGTGTACACTACTGTGCCCGGCGTCACATGCTTGATATTTTGCATGTCGTCCCTGTTACCTACATGTACATGGACTTGTGTTGTATGGTTTGTGTGTAGCTCCCAGGCTACGAGTGAGTGCATGTGTATGTGCAGGTATGAGCTAAAGCTTGTGTGCACGTGTGAGGCCTTACATACGTATGGTTGTACTTGCAAATATCTGTGCACGCTTGTGTGGTTGTACGCATGGGAGCACGGGAGCATGTGTAACCGTGTAAGCACGGCTGTGAAAATATGCACACCTCTCTGGCCAGGGATGACTAAGCCAGGGATTTTCGTCCTCGCTTCCCCAGCTCCAGGGAGAAACCCTTTGAGTCTGAAATGGCAGAGGGCAGGGCTCCCAGCTCAGCCAGTTCTTGGGTTCCAGGCAGCATTCCCAGGCCCTGTTATCCAGCAAGGACTAAGACAGAGAGTAGGAGAACAGAGCCTGATTTCCCTTTTGGAAGTCCCCTGCGGGGCTGTTGTCAGGAGGATGGTGGGGCCTGGGAAACTGGAGAGGACGGGGAGAGGAGGGGAGGCCTAGACTGGGCCGCAGCAGTGGCCAGGAGGTGGAGGCAGATCTGAGGAGCAGTAAGGATGCAGAACAGACAGGACTACAGGGGAGTGAGGGTGAGAGAGGCAAGTCAGATCACCCCGTGTCGAGCTGCTGCCGTTCTCCCTGGCTCCCCTGAGCCCGAGGATGAGCAGCTTCAGCAGTGCGCTCACTGGCAGGCACTGTGCCTGTGTCCTGGCTGGCTCAGCCACGCTGGGAGGACATGAAGGGGTGGAAAACAGGGAGAACCCTGGCCAGTGTGCGGAGCCTTGTGGCTGTCCAGGAGGGGCCTGGACTACAGGGCTGAGATGCCTGGGTAGGAGTGGCTTTGAATAGGTACTAAATTCATTGAATAGGGGCCCTTTATGTTGGTTGGTTTTGTTTTTTAATGGAGGAACCCAAATCTGAACCAGTCACAGGAGCCATCGAACTAGGACCTGATCTGTGCCCTGCCTGTGGGGACTGCAAGCGCGTGCACAGTGAGGCGACCAGCATCAGGAGCTGTCTCTCGGTGCCTTAGGACTGGTTAGGCATCTGGATCCTTCATCATTACTCAGCCAGGGAAACCAAGGCCCAGAAGCATGGAGCTCCCCAGGTTGGGTGCTTCAGCAGGCAGGTGGGTCTGGGCCATTTACTGGCAAGGAAACACCCCTCTGTCATAGAGCCCCTCCCGAGGTGGCTGGGCTGCCCCTGGTGGGGAACCTCTGTAATTAAGGGATTAGCAGGCAGCCTCTCCCCAGCCAGCCCTATGCCCCTCAAAGCCACAGAGTGGAGCCAAGGATTTGGAGATGTGGTGTCAGTTTCCAGGTGTGTCTGAGGAAACTTGGCATCCTTGGACTGCTCGTTCAGCCTGAAAAGCCCCATTGTGGCTGCTGCCCCCCTCTAATCGTCTTTTTTGGGATCAGGATCCACCCTGCCCCAGCTGGTGGAAGGAAAAGGTATATTTCAGTGTGTCCTGTGGGCGCGGACCGTGCAGGGGAGAGACAAAACCAGAGGCTGTGTGGCTGTGTGCCTGGGGCTGCTGGAGTCTGGACTGTGTGGAGGAAGGGGATGCAGCAGGGGCAGGCTGGCATGTGAGGAGAAGAGAGGAGAGGCCTGGTGGCCCAGGAGGAGGAGGCCCGAAGGCGTGGCCATGGCAGAGGGTTGATGTGAGTCGGGCCTGGCTGTCGTGTGGCCCCAGGAGGCCGGCTGGTAGGCCCTATCAAGAGGGATGCAGACAGTGATCTGTCCAGGCCTTGCTTGAGAACTACCAACCAGCAACTTCCTGACTCCCTCTGCTGTGGGTGCCCACCCTATGTCCTAGGTCCTGAGGTAGGCCCACCTTGCCCTGAGGGATCTCCCGTTTGTGTGCCATGGGCCAGAGGCTGCAGCCATAGAGAGTCTGGTTTGGCCTCTTCCACCCACCCTTAACCAGTGCCTGCCTAGATTCCTATCCCACCCAGTGTGGAGAGCACATTCCAGTCTCTTGCCTCTGATCCTGTGGGTCCTCTACTCTGTGGTCTTGCAGCTCTTCTCAGCCTATCCTCATCCTGACTGGCCTTTAGGGCTCTGGTCAGGGCCACCTTCCTCCCTGTCTGATTCTCCCATGCCAGTTTCACTGGGCACTGTGAACCCTGGAGGCCTCTGAGCTCTTTTTGCCAAAGGTCTCCTCCCCCTCACTGTGCATAGGCCAACCATAGGGGTAAGGGACTTTACAAGATAGGACTTGATGTGTAATCTTGAGCCTGGGTTCCCTGGTCTGTGACATGCAACTTATCAGTGGATATACTGGTGCACAGTAGGTGTTTGGCAGTGGTTCTTTGTTCCTCTACCCTGGTGCTCACAGGCTTCTGAGCATCAGGTCTTTGAGTGCCTGAGCCCCCTGCCTGGTACACAGCCCCGTGACTCCAGGAATGACTAATTCCACTCCAGCAATAAGCTCTTGGGAACTCTGCTCTGATAAATGAGACTTTCTCTTCTTGCTGCTTCATTAAACTGTTCTTGAGTGAGGGGAATGAGGATTGTCCTAATCCCTTGGCACGAGGTGAAAGTTTCAGGGAACTGGGTAAGACCGGCCCACAGTTGCCTGTGGTCATTGGAGAACATTAGGAGCAGGGCAGAGCATGGGCACTGGATAGGGGTCAGAAACCTTGTACAATAGGCTGGCTTTTCCCTGGGCCAGCTGGTGACATCAGACAAGGCTTGACTCGGTTCTGTTTCCCTAGGTTCCCAGTTTCCCCGAAATGTGAAAGTACTAGCCCTGTACTGCTCTAGGGGTCTGGGTAAGGGAAGGCCTGGGAGAGGCCATTGTGGGCTTTCCAGCCAGACTGGCTGGCTACACACAGTAGGTGCCTCGTCATTGTGTACAGGCCTCAGAAGACAACAGATAAGGTGTGGGCAAGCTCTAAACAGTCTTCTGGCCTTCCTCTTCTCCAAGAGTGTTTCCTCTGTTTTAAAAGTGTCCTGGGAGGGCCAGAGATGTAGTTCAGTGGTGCCACAATGTCCTGATTTTGATCCCTGATATAGGAAAAAAAAAGTGCCCTGGCGGTCCTGGCTGCTTCCTCTGGGGCCCATGGGTGACCCCGAGAGCTGGGTCCCAGGACTGTCCCTTAGGAAGAATGGACTTCTCAGGGCTGGGGCCTGGTACTCACCTCTGGGTTGTGGCCACTGGCCAGGCCGGCCGGGGGCTGTCTACCCACCCTCAAGACTGGGAACTGGAAAACCAGATCCAGACAGTGCCCACTGCGGTCAGTCTTGGTCTTGCCCTTTGTGGAGCCTCAGTTTCTCCTGTCCACAGGTGGAAAGAGACACTGTGGGGAGCCTCACCCAGCTGTGCTTTCTCCACAGGTGTTTCTGGCTCTGGGGGAGCTGCTTCTGTCCTGCAACTGGGCGGTGGTGGCTGACATCCTTCTGGTAGGTGTGGGGTGTGGTGGGGGCAGGTCCGGGGCCCTCTTGAGCAGTGGGGAGCTGGTTCTGTCCACCCAGGGTTGGCCCTTCGCTATTGGGCAGCCTGGGGGTTGGAGAGGCCTTGGGGCAGGGGACCAAGGCCACTCACAGCTGCCTAGGACCACAGGTCCCTGACACTCAAATGTCTCCTCTGATTGTCACCTCCATTTTGCAGATGAGCAAAGGGAAGCTCAGAGAAGGCAGGTGCCAGGGCCATGATCACACAGTGCCTAGGCTTTGTGCCAGCACTGGGCAGGACTGCCTCCTTCCCTCTTTCTTTACCATGCCACTTCTCAGCAAGCCTGCTCTCAGGGGTGCAGATGGACGATTTTAGAGCAATGGCCACTGAGCCCAGCTGTGCCCACCCCAACTCTTGTGTTGTGGGCTGTCATGCAAGGGCTGGCTCAGGCTCTTAAGAGGCCTGGTACTGTCCTGACCACATGACCGCTACACCCAGAGTCCAGCTCAGCCCTGCCTGAACGCTCTCTGTGGCCTCCTTGCCTCCTTCTGGGAGGTGTGTGGGGAAGGACTTTGAACAAAGAGAAGGCTCCTCGGCCCGGGAATACCCTGAGCTCTTCTGCTGCCTACTGGTGCCACTGTCCCACCCAGAAACAGGGAGTCAGAGCAACCTGGCTACTGGCAGTGCAGGGACACAGGCTTGGAGTCAGGAAACATGACTGGGCTTCAGCTGTGCTTCTGCCACTATCTGTGTGACTTTGGGCATGTCACTTGTGTCTCTGAGCCTCAGATTCCCCACATGGACATGCTAAGAGTACCTACCTCATGGATTGTTGTGAGGGTGGAACTTCTGCCCATTGCCCAGAAGAGAATGCTGGCTGGGACTCTCAGCAATTCCCAGGTTTTTTACTTGCTCTTCTCTGTCCCCCAAAGAAATCTGGGTGTCCTGAAATCCAAGTTTGAAAGGTCTGTGGGAATGTGGAGTTATTTAATTAGTCAACAAGGCCTTCTTGAATATGACTGTTGACAGGATGCTCACTCCCTGTGGAGCTGTTCCACCCCCTCCCATGGCCCAGGCTCAGCCAGCATGGAGAGGGCTGCCCTGTCCTTGGCTCCCAACATGTATCAGCTACAGGGGTGGCGGCCTTCTCTGGCCTCTCCCTCCAGACAATGACTTGGGCTCCACAGGCCGGTGGAATGGCCTTGGGCTTTGGTTTCCTTGTTACAAAAAGGGGTAATCATGACTAAGTGGCGTGAGCAAGACAGCACGCTGGAAAGTGTTCTGGACACAGGGAGATGAGCATCCCTACCCCCAACACAGCTTTCCGTCTCCCAGGCAGTATAAACAGAGCTGCATGTGCCCCCCGCAGCTTCCTCCACTTGCCCCCCACGGCATGGATCCACATGACAGCCCCACAGATATGTGAAGACTGCGGGCCCGTGTCCCCTGGTGTCTATGTCTGCAAGAATGATTAACCTGGCAGAGCCAGGCTCCTTGTAGAACTGAAGAGGGAAGGGGGTGCGGGGCTGGCCTGCTGGAGTCTAACCCATGGGGGAGCTGGGAACAACTCCTTGCTGCTCTTCCTGGCCTGCAAACCTCCAGTCCCACAGTTAGGCATAGACACCCAGCAAGCTTCTTGCCCCTTTTCCAGCCTCCGCACCTCCTGGAAGCCGACCACCTTCCTGCATTTACATGGTGCGGGGGCGTGGCTGGGCTGGTCCTTGCAGCCCTGGGAGTTCAGTAGCCTCCTCTGCTGATTCCCTGGTAGAGGCATAGGAGGCAGTGGTCTCAGGGACTGTGCACACAACAGGTAGGCTGTGGGTGACCCTGTGCATAGTAGGACACATGGTGATGGGAGAAGGGACAATGATGCGTAGATGTAACACAAGATCCCAAGAAGCTGGATTTTTAAAGGTGGCCAGAGCTGGTTTTGTTGGTGCACACCTGTATCCCAACTACTCAGGAGGCTGAGGCAGGAGAATAGAAAAGTTTTTTCCAATATTGGGGATGGAACTGGACCTTTATGCTGAGCTATATCCCCAGCCTTTTTTTTTTTTTAATTTTGAGAGAGGGTCTTGGTAAATCACTAAGTCACACAGGCTGTCCTTGAGCTTTTGATCTTCCTGCCTTGGCTTTTCAGAGTGCTGGGATTACAGGCATGCACCACCACACCCATTGAGGTTGGAAAGTTTGAGGCCAGTTTGTACAAGGTAGGCAGATTCTGTCTCCAAAAAAACCGAACCAACCAATCAAACAAACAAAAAAACAAAAAGGGGCTGGGGGTGTGACTCTGTGGTGCAAGGCCCTGGGTTTGATGCCCAGCATTGCAATACCACACACACACAAAAACCCAAACCCAGCCAACCAACCAACCAAACAAAAAGCCTAAGAGAGGTGGCCAGAACAGCCTGTGGGGGACAGAGAGGGGCGGTGTGGAGAGAGGTGGCCCTGACATGTGGGGAGCAGCAAGGTATGGGGTCCAGGGCCAGGTCAGGCCTGGGTGTGCACAGGAATGGGCGGGAGGTCTTCCGGGCCATGTGCACCTGCTCTGGGGCTGGAGGTGAGATTCTTTTTGGGGAGAAGCTAGAGAGGGCCCTGAGACCTCAGAGTGTGTGCATGTCATGGGTTAGGAATGAGTGGGCAGGGGCTGAGGGGCCTGCATGTTTGGGAGGACAGTACTGGTGGAGAGGAGGCCAAGGGGTGGGGGAGGTGAGGGGAAAACAGGGGTGGACAGTGGGACAGGTGGGCCGGAACCTGTGGGAGGTTTGATGGGGCGAGGACTCTGCAGCGGTCCATCTGCTTTCACTCCCAGCCCTGTCCCTAACAGCTTTATGATCTTGGTCAAGTGACCTAACTTCTCCTGGCCTTGTTTTGCTCAGCTGTACCGTAGATAAAGTGGTAGTACCTATCAGTTCCCCTGAAGGAGTCCTGTGGGCCTTCCACCCCCTGAGGTAGTCTGCCGCAGGACATTGCTTTCTTTGATCCCTAATCCACTGAGGGAGAATGCAGACTTTCTCTGGAGCCAGGGCTCTGGGCCTGTCTGGTCCAGCGGCTCTTAGGCTTCATTATGTATAAGAATTGAGTTTGGAGGAGCTTGTTACTAGTTTCAGGTCCTGTGTCCTCACACTGTGATTCGGTGGGTTTAGACGAGTGGAGGGAATTGCATCTCTGATAGACTTCCCAAAGGAGCCTGATCCAGTATTCCGGGGCGCGCTAGAGACACTGGCCCAGCGTACTCAAATTGCCCATCTGGGCAGCCATCGCAAAATTCCCGACACCCCCTTGTTCACACAGCCCTCTCCGCCACAGAGAGCTCACTCCCTCACTGTGTGTGGCAGGGGGCTGTGTTCGTGAAAGTGGTCTGGCTCAGCACAGCCAACACCCACCTCTGGCGACTTCCCCTGGGCTGGCTGGGCTCCAGAGGGTCCCCTTCTGGGAGGCTGAGACGCTGTCTCTGGAGCCTGCTTCTCCCCAAGTTGAGCTCTCTGCCTCCCCAAACCACTCATGGGGTCTCCAGCTCCCTCCTAACTCCACCAGGGATGACCCACAGCCAGCTCACCCACTTCCCGGCATGGGGAATAGAGCGGAAGTTGCTCATTGCCTCCCTCCCTGCTCACTCCCTTTCCACTTCCTCAGCGGATTTTTTTCCAGCCCTCCCCCCCACCTCTGGGGGCTACTAGCCTCTCCTCAGGTCTCAGGGTTTCCTTGCTCAGCCCCACCCCCTAGGTAGCTGTCTGCTCAAGGGTCTGTCTCGCTGTCCCAGGGGTGTCTGGACTGAGGGCCAAGAAAGGAGTGCAGGAGGCAGGCTGCCAGGGAGTCTGCACCTGATGGTTGACTCTCTGTGTTCCTCTGGCCAGTGCTGATTTTGCCCTGGGCTATAAAGAGAGCAGCTTTCTGAGAAGGGTGAGCCTAAAACAGAGGTGTTTTGTTTTAGAATAGAGTGAGCCTGGAGTTCTTGGGAACCCAAAGGTCTCTCATTTCTAAAATTACCCCCTGGGCTCTCCAGGTGTTGCTGAGCCCAGCCTTGGCCTGTGGCTATAGGAAGACACCAGTGGGGACCCAGAACAGGCAGGGTGGGCAGGAAGACGAAGACCTGCCTTCCCATGGCTGGCAGTGGCTGCTCTGGGTCCAGCAGGCTGAGGTTTTTGTGGTGGAAGGAAGGGACCAGAGGCTTGGACCTTTTTCTGAAGGTCAAAGAAGCCTCAGCCCCCACAGGGACCTTTTTGGACATGCAGAGCCCTCAGTCTAGGAAGCCCAGCAGTCTCTCCAGAACCACCCATGAGTAATCACATAATTATGGGGTCAGAAGGAAGTCCTGTGGAAGGTGCGAAGCTGTTCCTCCTCAGCCTGTAGGCAGGTCCCTGCCATGGCAGGAAGCCCAGTTTCTCTCACCACCTGGGCAGGGTGACTCAGTGCCAGTGATCTGGGGACTGGCTGAGCACCCATAGGGACCCCTGCCACTGGGCTCTACCCACCCACAGGGCTCCCTCCCACCAGACCCAATCATCAGGCCTCTGCAGTTCTGGAATACAGTGATTGTCTGTCTGGGATCCTCTTCCACACTTTTAATGCTACTGCCCCCTGTCTAGAGAGCCCTTCACCAAGCTCTCAGCCAGGTAGTGACTCCTTTCCTGCCCATTTGCAGGGCTGCTAATGGGCTTGTCCTCTTCAGCTTTCTTTCCATTTTCTGAATGTTCTATAACATATAAACATTGTAGGACATGCCGGCTCCTCCCACACATCCCAGCAGGGTGATCAGAAGGCCATGCCCTGAAGGGATTTTGACGGGTTTCCCAGGAAAGTTACTCACCTGCTCTGTGGAGTTTTTCTTGTCTATAAAATGTAGATGATAATCACATCTCCCTCATGGGTTAAGTTGATATATAAAATGCATAAGGAAGCATTCAATAAATGTTAGGAATTATTATTATCATCATTTGCTATTATTCTCTGCTGGGCTCAGATTATGGGCACTGAGGTCTAGGGACAAGGTGGTAAGGCAGAAGACTCCTCTGTGGCCTCCCTAGAGGGCAGAAGCCCTGGGCCTGGCAGTTTCCCCTGTGATTAGTCTTCCAAAAGTTTCTCTTTGAACTTGTTTATTGGGAGGCTTTTACTAGTCCCCTCTGTGCCTCATGTCTTGCTCCACTGTAGGGACCCCAAAAGAAATTAGGGGCACTGCTGCCAACACAGTGTGGGGGATACGGGAAGGTGAACAAAGAAAGGATCCTTCCTTCCATCTCTGGATGATGTGCACTCAGTTAGGCACATGTGTGGGGGCTGTGGGAGCTTGGGCAGGCACCTGAACTCTGAAAGGGCTTCGCAGAGGAAGTGACCCAAAGGTAAGCCCTAAGTGACAGACAGAGATGCTTCAGGTAGGCCAAAGAGCGGGAGGCAGGCTGGGAAGAAGGCATCACATGTTCAGGTGCACAGGTGATTCTGCCTGTGGGGTTTTATTTCAGCATGATGTCTACCTGAGGTCTTTGAGCTAAGTAATGTTGGGGGTTACCTCAAGGAAGGTGCTACTGTACTCCACTTGGGGATGAAGAGACTCAGGCACAGAAGCAAGAAGCAACTGGCCCAAAGTCCCATGGCCAGCAGATATGGGATCCAGGGTGGGAACCCCCACATACTAACTCTAGAATTCCTTGGAGGTACTGAAGTACTGGGAATGGAACCAGGGCCTCAGACACAGTAGGCAAGTGCTCCACCACTGAGCTCCACTTCCAGCTGAGAATTTATACTCTTGACCTTCCCTCCCGCTGCCAGGGGGATGTGTGGGCCTCCCCAGCATGGCTTCCTTTAGCCTCTGCCCAGTGGACTTGAAGTTCCTGAGAAGACTGAGTGCTCCGTGCCATCCCAAATGCCGGTACATGCAGGTACCTGGCTCTGTTCTGCCAGCATCCCCTGCTGCCTCCTGGCCCCTGAGTTGGGACTGTCACTGTCATGCCTGCTCCCCTCACAGTTCAAGGTCAAACTGTCAAGTGGGGTGCACCCCTACCCCTAGGCATGAGGCAAGAGGCGCCTGATGTACCCCTACCCCTAGGCATGAGGCAAGAGGCGCCTGGGCTTGAAGGTTGTTACTTTCCTCCTGTTCTACTCACCTGGCCAGCCTGTCACACTTCCAGGCAGGTCCTCAGCAGGAGGGAACAGGGAAAGGTGTGAGGGGACACCCAATCTGCCCTCACTGGGGGAGCTGCCTGGGGCTCCTGTGTTTTGCAGTCTGTGGTGACACCCAGATGCCGGGGAACAGCGGAGGCGCTTCAGATCACAGTAGGCCACATCCTGGGAGACGCTGGGAGCCCTTATCTTACTGGACTTGTAAGGCTGGCTGAGTGTGGGGTGGGGTGGTCTGGGGAGGCCCCTTGCTTGCTAAGGCCAGGGGATGGCCTGGGGGTCCTGGCAGAAATGTGTCCCTCCTCGGCAGGTCTCCAGTGCCCTGCGGGCCAAGCGCCCTGACTCCTACCTACAGCGCTTCCTTAGCCTGCAGCAGAGCTTCCTGTGCTGTGCTTTCACCATTGTCCTTGGTGGTGGCTGTTTCTTGCTGACTGCACTGCACCTGGAGAGAGACCAGGCTCAGGCCCGACAGCCTGGCACAGGTACTCCTGCAGCTCATACCCATGGACATCTAGGGGCCACCCCAACCCCGTGGCCAGCTAGTTAATTCATTTACTGGAAAATGTTTGTCACATCCTGCTATATGCCAGGAAGGGCTGCAGAGGCCAGGAAATAACTGAATTAGATGAAGTCTAAACCCTCATGGAGCTGCCACTCCAGCAGGTGGAGACAGAACGAAAAGAAAAAATGAGAGGATATGCTCAGGGGATAAGTGCTGTAGAGGGACAGAAGACTTGTCATGAATCACAGAGGGTTGTGGTGTGGCCAGAGAGGAGTGTGTGTGTGCCTGAGGAAAGGGAATAGAGAGGGACCTTCAGGGGCAGGTTCTAACTGTGGATAGGGTGGCCAGGGAGCTCCTCACTGCAAAAGTGACACTGGAGCAAAATCTGGAGGAAGGGAGGGAGCAAGCCACGCAGCTACCTGGTGGAAGGTGCTCTTGGCAGTGAGAGCAGCTAGTGCAAAGGCCCTGGGGGGTAAACATACCTCATATGTTGAGGACCAATGAAGAGCCCAATGTGGCTGGAGCTGGGGTGAGAGGGACAGTGGTAAGAATGAGGGTAGCAGTATAGGGCAGAGCCATGGGGGCTGGGAAATCCTTGTAAGGACCACAATCTTAAAGCAGAGTGAGACGGGATGAGCTCCAAGGGTCTGATTGCTTTGGAAAAGCATTGCCCTGGCTGCTGTGTTGAAAGCAGACCACAGCAGGTCATAGTTGAGGCAGAGGGGCCATAGGAGGCTCTGGAACTACTCAGTGACAACACACAGCAGTGACCCTGTGGGGAGTGAGAGGGGTTGGAGCTGGAATTTATCCTGCAAATAGAACCTGGAGGATTTCCTGACAGTCCCTGGGCCTGTTCCCAAAGTCCCTTCTGCCTCCTTTGGGGCTGAAAACTGTGAGCTTCTTTCCTCCCACAGGGACCCTGGATAGCAAAGATGAGGACAGCAAGAACAGGGAGACCCAAGACCTGCTTCCTGGTACCAGCGCCTCCACAGAGGTCCCCTGAGGCCCCTTCCCTGGATCAAGAAGGCCCCCGTGCTGCCCATGTGCCTCCTGCCGGTGTCTCAAACCACCTTTCGCTGTGATTCAGGGACCCCAGCTGATCTGCACCTGCTACTTGTTCACTCCCAGCTAGAGAGCTGGCAGGGCTCAAGGGCTGGGCTGGACTGAGAATTGAGCTGTCAGCACCCTCCAAGGGAGGCCTGGGCCTATGGCTGTGCCTGTGCCCAGCTCAAGGCCCTCTAGCCTAGGTACTTACCCTGTCTGCTGGTGGACCCCGATTAAAGCATGGTCAGTACAAAGCCCACGGATTTCAAGTTTTAGACAGTCCCGTTATTCTAGCCTCATGGTATGTCTTTAGGAAGGGGGAAGGGAGAGATAGAGGTGGTCGGGCTAAGGGTGCGCGATGGCTCCTGAAGTGGGGAAATCGAAGGAGCTGCTCAGATTGGGTCTCTAGGTGCCCCTGCCCTGAAGTCCTCACCACGGCCTTGGTCTCACAGTCTGCAAAGCCATGAGGGCACAGGACACCCTCTGTGTGAATTCTTCGTCTGAACAAGAGGTGGCCTCGGAGGTGGGTTTTCACTTGGCTGCCATTGCAGGGGTGTTTCTCAAAGTACCAGGGAGCCACTCAAAGGAGCACCTGGGCCTGCACAGATGCAGGGTAGCTGTGCTCAAGCCATGAGGAGGGACTCGTGTCGCTGTGCACACAGACTCCTGGCTGTCCTGGGCTCTATGCTCCCTGTGCTCCACCCACACTCTGACCCCTGCACTGCCTGCGGGGAAGGCCAGCTCTGTGGGACCCACCCACACTTGCCAGAGTTCTGAGCAGCTGAGCTCAGCAGGCCTGCCTGAGATCAACAGCTTCCAGGGGGGCAGCCGTGAGGAGGCATGTTCTGTCCTCCCAGGAGCCTGAGCTTCTGTCCCCTCCCCTGGAGCCCAGCCAGCAGATCACTTGCTTGTTTGCTGATTGCTACCTCTGCTGTGCCAGGCTGTGCTTGCCTCCCAGCAGCTGTGGGTAGAACAGTGACCTGCAAGCCTGCACGGCCCCTGACCCCCGCCAGCAGCCCCATCCCTGCTGCCCAGTGTTCTTCGTGCCCCTCTCTGGCTGGGACAGATTAAGCCAAAGCTAGACTCTCCAGCTCAGCTTACACTTGCCCCCCTACCCCCAGTCAGCCCTCCCTCGGAAGTGGGCATCACCTGGCTGACCAGCCCTTGATCCATGACTTGACCCCAGAGCTCATGAAACAGACTGCCTTGGAGTTATAAGGAATCCCCTGAGAAGGAGGCAATCAGCCTGGACTGGAGCCAGGATGCCATGGATCCTCAGCATTCATTGACCATGTGATCAGGGCTACCTCTTATCTCTCTCAGAGCTGCAGCTTCTCCAGCTGTATTCCAGAGGTGTGGCAGAGGTGGCTTCTCCACTTCAAGCCTTATGTGATTTTCACAGGTTGGGTCTTGATTCACAGAAGCACAGTTCCAGTATCTGAATCTTCCACCTAGCAGCTGTGAGGCTCACATCTCAGAATATGGGCAAGGGCTGCCTAAGAGTAAGAATATTCCTCTTCTGCCTGCCCCACCGGAGTCCAGGGTGTAGGGAGGGAGATGAGAGAGCTGAGCACAGCGGCATTCTCCTGTAATTCCAGCTACTTGGGGGCTGAGGCTGGAGGACAGCAAGTTCAAGCCTGGGCAAGGAGAGAGAAACACTGCCTCAAAATAAAAAGGCCTCAGGTTGTAGCTTCATGGTGGAGCGCCCCTGGGTTTAACCCCCAGTTCTGAAAAACAAAAGGGAAACCTCATTCCTGTCAATTCTGCAAACACTTATTGGTATCCACGAGTCTCATCACATTTTTAGGCAGCAGATCTTACTCCAGCCTTTCTCTTGGACTTCACAGCCCATGGCAGGATGGGGACACTCTGGGTTAGGCCAAGTGAGATGCTCCTTTGGGCAGAAGGGATCGCATTCCTCAGAAGCCTTCCAGGAAGTGGCTTTGATGTTGGTAAGGGCAGGAGGTGAATTCCGGGTAGAAGGTACTAGACAAAGGTGCAGGGGCTGGGGCAGAAGACTTGTCATGAATCACAGAGGGTTGTGGTGTGGCCAGAGAGGAGAGTGTGTGTGTCTTTGGTGGGGGGAGAGGAGGCAGGAGAGACTGGCTGAGACCAGAGGGGCTTTGGATGTCCCCTGATGGGCTGGGACTTCCATCCTACGAACCAGGGCCCCTTCTTCAGACTCAAGTGCATTATGACACTTGGGGTGCTGAGCAGGGCAGGGTGGTTCTTCCCAGGGCTCAGCCAGACAGGAGGAAGTGATAGGATGTTTTCATCAAAGTGGTTTGGGGCAGGGCTGGAGTCAGGGCCTGGAGAGTTCTGGGATGGGCGGACAAATCTCTTATCCTGCAGCCAAGCCAGATCCCCCTAGCTTCTCTTGGCTCCTATCTCTTTGGGGCCATCACCAGGGGCTGAGGCCACAGGTGTGAGAGGCCTGGATAGCCAGGCTACTTGGCTTAGAGCGGAAGAATCTGGTAAATGGAACCCATCTTCTGGCTCAGAAGAGCACTTATTGGGTAATCCCAGTCACTCATACTCTGATTTGTTTGTTGGGAATGTCAACAGGAAGAAAAATGCTGTTCAGTAGGCAGGTCCTCAAGCCTGACCCTGATCACTTCATATGTAAATGACTCGCTGGCAGGTGAAATGTGGCTTGCAGGTGAGCCTGTCCATGTGTGAGCATGTGAGGAGGTGTGTAGAAAGTCTTGGTAAAAGCTCTCTCCTTCCATAACGACTTAAGGCTTGAGTGGTTGAGCATGCATATCTATATTCCTGTACCCCAACCCTGACTTGTTTTCCCTTAACATCAGCCACAAGTTTGTCTGTTTCATTTCCTGAAGTGTGTGGTTTTCCCTTATCCCTGGGTGGGCTCTTTGTGAGGTTGTTGAACTAATAAAGTCCCTAAAGGAGTAGGCATGGGCAGGGGATTTAGCTCAGTCGTTCTGGCTCCTGCCTTGCAAGTGCAAGGGCCCAAATTCGATCTCCGGTATAAAAAAAAAAGAGCAGGCAGAGGTCCTGGAGGTTGAGCTGTGCTTTATCCCAACACAGTCAGGGGTGTGACTGGCACTGGCTCCTCTGGGTATCAATTTGGGTTGTAAGCAACAGAGTTGGGTTGAAATAGGAAAGGTGTTTATTGGGAGCATATCCGGAGCTTACAGAATTGATGGGTATCCAGGGGATTCAGGAGCTAGGTGATTCAGGCCCTCTCATTTGGGGGTCTTCAAACATTTTTCCCTATTCTTTTGCCACAAACTCAAGATTTAAATCCCTGGGCATGAAAGTCCAGTTGGGCTAACTGTGCCCATGTCTTGGTTTATAGCTCCATTAAGGCCAGGAAACCATAGTGCTGTTAGGAAGAGGGATAAGTGAATTCTGATCATCAAAATAAAACTGTTAGGTGGGGGTGGTTGTGCATGCCTGTAATCCCATCACTCTGGGAAGCTGAGGCAGGAGGATTGCAAGTTTGAGCCTACCTTGGGCAGTTTAGCAAAATCCTGTCTCAACATAAAAAATAAAAAAGGGGTGGGGATGTAGCTCAAAGACTCTGGGCTTAGTCTCCAGTACTGGAAAAACAAAACAAAACAAAGCATGCATATACACGCAAACACACATGCACATGTGTGGAAAAAAATGCAGAAAAAAAAGCAAAGTTGAGGTTGTGGCTCAGTGGTAGAGAACTTGCCTAACATATTTGAGGGAGGGCCTGGGCTCCGTCTCCAGCACAGAGAAATATAAACAAATAAAACAGACACAAAACCCATACTAGCAACTACAGAAAAAAAGGTGACACAAACCAAAACAAAGACCATGTCTGCTGCGATGTTTTTGTGTAGCCACTGTAGCAACTACAGAAAAAAAGGTGACACAAACCAAAACAAAGACCATGTCTGCTGCGATGTTTTTGGGTAGCCCTCTCTAAAATGCAGCCTCTCCTGGGCCAGGAAAAAGGCAGGGCTTGATGTTTTTCGAGGGATTCTTTATTCTTTTTTTTTCAGCTTTAATTGAGTTTATTGGTACATTTTAGGGATACAGTACAGTTACATTCATTGTTGGGATCTTGTACCTCTACATGACAAGTCTTGATTCTCATGGGATTCTTTATTCTTGATTGTCTCCATCCATGATCAAAAGAGACTGAAGCTTCTATCATTTAGAATGTGTTTAGATGTCCAAATGACAGAACAGGAACTTCTGTGTTAGTGGGGGCTTGGAGCCATCTGTTGTGAGCAGGAGACAGAGAAGCAGAAATGAGGCATTTGGAACAAAACTCATGAGGCGGACCCAGGCTGGAGGATGGGGACTCAACAAGTTCACAGCTTGGCAACTGCAGGAGCAGAGAAGAGGGACCTTCTCCCCAGCGATAGGTGGTAAACCTCAGGGAAGGCTAATCAAAGGGTAGGGTCAAATGGCAGGGGGAGGCTAATGGTGGGTGGAGTCAATTAGAGAGAAAATGCCTTATTTAGAGAGGCCAGGAGAAGAAGCTGGCTGGTATCTGAGTCACTCAGAGCAACAGATACACGATGCAAATCAACACATATTTCCTGCACCTGCTAAATGTCATTTATTCATTCAATCAACAAACATTCTCTAAGCACCTCCTTTGTACCGAATCATGAAGATGAATCAGACAGGGTATGGGCACTTGAGGCTCATGATTTATCTGAGCGTGGTGCTGGTGGATTCTTGTACAAACATAATCACCATAACAAGTTTGATGTGATGGAGGTTAATTAACAACCCGGGGAGGAAATGGCCAGTTGTTCAGGTGGGTCAGGGAAGGCTTCCTGGAGGAAGCCATGTCTGTGCTGGGTTTCTGAAGGGCCAGTGGGAGGACTAAGAAGTAGGCAGCCTAAGCCCAGCCCAGTAAAGACAACGGAAGGGTCGGGGTCGGGGGATGCACGTGTGACGCTCTCCGTGGTCCTGAATCAGCACTGAGTGAGCAGGGGAAGGGTTTTTCTGTTGAGGGAAAAGCGGGGACTACAAACAAGTGACTCTGTTCTTGCCACTTGCCCAGGCTCCAGGAAGTTTAATGACTGTGAGTCCAGAAAGCTCTGTGTCCAGGGCGGTGGAGAGTAATTTTGAGAAATGGGAGGTAGGATCTGAGATTGCGGAGTGTTGAGTCAGGAAGGGCTGTGAAAGGTTGTGGAGATCACGTTAGGGAATACTTATAATCCCTTAAGCAGTAGGAGCCATGGAAAGGTTGGGTGCAAGGTAGTGATGGGGACACATGTGATTTAGAAAGTTACCAGTAAGCACT